CAGAAACCGCGCCCATTCCCTTCTGCAGGGCTGCCGAGGGAACGGTTCACACACATTGCGATTTCATCAACCGCAGGAAACAAGACAATGGAACTTGGTACCAAACACGCAGCCATTATTCGGCAAACGGGGTCGGAGGCGCGGGGGGGGGAGTTTGTCAGTAGTGTCTCAACCCGAGAGGCCGCAAAGACTCGCTTCAGCACTTTGAACTTGCTTCGTTATTGAATTCCGTATATTTGTTCTTGCGTAGAGGCCCATTTCAGACCAACAGCCCTCTTGATCTGACCAAATGCCCAGGGGCACTGCTTTCAAACTCGGCCCCCTGGGCCACTTCACCGATCCAAGCGTCCTAGATGCTACTGGGAACCTCGTGAAAGGATCCTTTATCATAACTCGCATTTAAATTTATTAAAAGTGGTAACCGTAAAACAAAAACTTGGTGCTCATCGGGATAGTGGAAGGAAGTCAGGGCCCCTTCGGACGTCACAGAGGCTCCTGCACCTTAGGGGACCACCTGTCCCCCTGAATCACCCTTCGCTGGCACCACATTGTTGTTTAAGGTGAACTGGTAGCTTCTAGAAAATAGCTGAAGCTTCATCGGCACATGTACCTTGACAGGAGTTAACAGAGAGTTTGAGATTTGAGCGACGACTATGCCTCAGCTAGTCATCATATGACCAGATAGTGATCAATCATGACTTTGTACATCCCAGTTTGATCTGGATGACGTGCCAAGGTTTTTTGGACACCTCTGGCTAGGTGGCCCCCTAATGCGAAGCGTAGACCAGGGGTCGTGACCAATGCTGGGCGTGCTGCCCCCTTCCCCCCCCCCCCCCACCTCCCCGTCTGACGTCAGTGACCGGCCCAGTACTATAACGGTCCGCAAATCAACGGCCTGGCCCACTCAGCATCAATTCGTGACCCCTCAGAGAATCGGCCGGCCCCCTGGTGTCAAATCCTGGAGACGACCCTCGTGGAGACCGTGGAACACCATGATCAGAGGGCGGGGAGAGAAGGGGGGGGGGGGGGGACAGCGGCGTTGGGCCAGTATCTGACTCGGTGCTCGGTGCGGATGGTCAGCGGTGCCACGGCTATGGAAATCTCCGCGCCTGCAGACTTGCTGAAGGACCGGTTGCTGTTACCAAGGCCAGCCTTTGCGCGGCCACCGCCTGAGAGTATCGAGCGATGCAGCCAACGAAGCCGACGGTATCAAAGAGCACGCCTTCAACAAATGGTATGAGGGCCTACCATGAGGAAGCGAAACAGTGAAACACCCGTCTCCATGCAAATAAAACTTTGTACTGTGCAACTCGAAAGACCCTCTGTATGTTTTGAGTGCCCACTCCATGCTTAGACCAGTGTGCATGTACGATACGCGAATTTAGAAAGGCAGCCTTTTGTCAAACGCCTGACACAATACCTACCCAATTATTTTTGTCTGGTCATCCTGGCTGTACTACAGAGTACCTGAGTGTTTGCAGGGTTCCCCTAAAATACGCCATTGTATCTAAGTTCATCCTATGAGAACAGTAATCAACGAATTAGAGAGAACAGCAACGAAACACGTCTGGACAGATCAATGGTTCAAATCGATGCGAGCACACAATGAAACAGTTTTCTGATCAGGGTCAACCACATCTTGACCTTCCGCGCTGATCATGTCAGTCAGAGGTCATGTGACCTGCACGACGGAGTTCGTTCACCGCCTGGCTTTCACCGGGTCGGTAACAACGTGGGAAGAGCGGGCTCTCTTCGGCACAAGGTATTGAGAACTTTCTGTAACGTGAACTGGAAAGAAATCGTTACTTTCTTCAGGTTTGGCGCACTAGATATCAGAAAGGCCTGTACTGAAGGGTCTGGAATCAGCCCCCTTTAATCTCATGATCTCCAATTATGACTGCCACGAACAAAGCCAGGTCACCTCACGGGTGACCACAAGACAAGAATCGAAAGCACGCTAGCAACTAAAAGAGGAAATCAAAACTGCTTCAGATGTTCTAAGGGCCTAAGCCATCGCCAGTCACCTCCAGATGAACTCAAATAATGATCCCAAGAAACTCTCTCAAACGCTCCAAAAAGCATCTGAGGTCAGTCTAACTCAAAGGACCTTGAATTTGCCAGAAAAGACCGCGGACCAGTGCCATAATGACAACAGCCGCATTGTACATACGTCACTCGATTTGTGTCGCTTCCGTTCATTAATCTCAGAACAGACACCATCCGTGAATTGACATGCTCCGCCCAACCTTTTACCAGTGCGGAGAACACACCCCCGATGTTTCTAAAGGTGTCATGACAATCCGTTCAGAGGTTCAAAGAGTATCTGCGGAGGGCCTCAGGGGAGATTACTTCAGTGCATTTCTCCTGCACTGCTGAGGGGTGCGCCCAAGTCATGGCTAAACAATCGCAGATGCCTCCATCAGCTGGATCTACGTCATCGTGACCAACACTGTGGCCTGCCAGAGCAGGAAGTGCGCACATAAAGGAAGGGGGAAGTGGTGTGCGCGAAATTAGCTAACTGATGACAGCGAATATATTTAAACCCATGTATTTTCAGTTGTTGCTAACATTGCAACATATGCACAGACTTCTCACAGCTGCGAATAGATATGTGGCGATGAACAAAGCTGTAGCCAGGACATTCTATTTTTTGCGTAACATAGATTATTTTATCACACACGCCTTTATTAATCTACATGGATGCAGCTGACGGTCTTATGGGACATTTGTTCCCCTCCCACTGGATGTCGCGGGGTTTCCTGCGGACCGCAGGCCTCAGTGCTTATCGATAAGATATAGATACGGTGAAGCCCGGCTCACACCGCGGCTGGCCGGCCGCTCGATCGGACCATCGTCGTACACAACAAACAATGGTTGGACAGTCCGCTAGAACTGTAGAAATTCGTCAGATCTGATACACAAAAGCTCCCTCTGAAAATTTGGCAACACCTGACTGGACTGCGGCGCCTTTGGCGACCGCGTGGGGCTGGAATGGAATGATTAAAAACGGGCAAAAGATCGGCAGTTCATTCACCAATTCATTTTGAGCATCACGAATGACGTGGCACATGGCCCATATCTTTTGATGGCGCTCGATGGCGATGAATCCCCAAAAGATGGCTTCGGTGTGGGGGCACTGGAAAGCGCAGCACCAAGGGCTGAGTCTACCACGTCTTTTTCATAAACTGAATATCATGACCAAAGTCAACGGAACCAAGCTTTTGCATCTCAAAATTGTGTTCATGAATATTGATATGGTTGCATAGGCGGCATTTGGAGGAAAACACGAAACGCCTCTATGGAAGTTGAAGTAGCTAGAATGCGAAACTGAATTGGCACGGGTCGATGGTAACAAAATATTGACCTTGGTAAATACCGAAAAAGCGTTGGCAAAAAATTGCTGAAATTGTGCCCATTTCGACGCAAGATGGTGTGAGCCATGTCGCAGCTTCCACACTGTATATCCACAAATGCGACTCCAGAACAGAGTACTCCTCAGGATCGCACACAAGCAAAATATTTGGATCCTTTACCTTGACGCCTCCGGAGAGCACCCTCCACACAGCCCTTTCACTGGTGTACACGAGAAGCGATCAGCCCGTGTTTGTGTGCGACTGCTGCGCTCACCATGGAAATAGCCCCGGGCCGTTTGTCACCTCGCCGGATCGGGCGAAATCGCGCAACGCCCCACTTCCGGCGGGCTACCGGGCCGGACCGTCACCGCCTCCAGCTGGCCAGCCGCCGATCGCCGCCGGTCATCGCTGCCCGCCGGCTCACACCGCCGCCGCAAAGGTCGGCCGTCATTCTCTCAATGTCTGTCATTGTGGCCGTCATTCTCTCGATGTCTGTCATTGTGGCCGTCATTCTCACAATGTTTGGTCAACAAGTTCGGTGTCAGTCCGTTCCGGCGGGCGGATAGCGTTGTGAACCTGGCTTACGGTGTCCGAAGCATGTCTTGTTGGAGACACCTACAAACCCACGGTCCTTTGGTGGCGTCTGTCCCGCGGGACAACATTAATGATGTTTCTGCGTTCATTAGCAAACAGAACTCATAGCTGTGGAAAATGGGGCCATATGCTTGTGAGGTGCGCAAAACTTTTGGCGTGGAGTGATGTGCACGGCATGGTTGTCGTTCGCTGACCGTGTTCAAGCACCGCCATGATAGTCTGCAGGCTGTCCCGACGTGAGTCGCGCGAACTTTCGATCGTGATGAAAACGCAACCAATTTTGTCATAGCTCCTCACGAGTGGCAGAGCCGGGAGTGCTGCTCAGCTGGTCTGTTAATTATCTCTGTAGCGGTTCGCCGCAATTCAGCTCGTTACTTCCGTTTCGTGAATCGCATGTATCCCTTTTTGTGGATGCAAGACTTGTTTTGAATTAATGCAAATGAGTTCAACCAGCGCAGACACAATTTGGCCTCATACAGAGCCAGCCAGAAAGACATAGGTGGAATAGTTAGGCTGCTTTTGCGAGATTCGAGTACACATTTTATGGTTATGGGAGCATGGGGACTAAGGCTCGCAAGGCAGGGAGCAGCAATGTTGACAGCTTCCCGACATATTTCGGAATGCACCTGAATTTGGTATAATTTTGCGCTACCCAAGACGTGCATGTCGATTTACTCAGTCTACCATCCTTCTCCCTCAACACGCACTGGACTGCATTGCTTCATATTGTAAATGACAGCGTCATTTGCTACCATGCGCAGCGGGCGAATAAAGATGTGTTTACCGAACTCCAATGTACTCACACTATCGGATGAAAACTGTAGGTGTTCCCTGAAATCCCCACCAGATCGCGAGCCTTTTCTCGGAAAAATAGCGCAAGAATGTTGTCTTCTTGGTACAGGCAGCATTATTACGCTCTCTGCATGACGGCTATAATTTCAGTCCAAGATGCATGTGCCATAGGTGTTAAGCATACCCTGGCATTTCATACCAGCCTAGGCATTTCATGTAATACTGTCATTTTCCGATCATAATAAATAATATATAGTTCAAATATAAAGCCAAACTAGACCCCTGACAACTATCTATATGATAGCGCCCTAATGTAAGCCATCTTGGTTAGAGTTGAGAGTTCAATGAAGAACGTTGGTCAAGTTTTTAGCCTTAAACGTGAAACGGCTACGAAAAACATGTCATGCTCGATTTATTCAGCATTTGCTGAAAACGTTTAATACCACTGATATGCCTTGTTACGCACCTAAAATGATATACCTGGCTCTCCCAAAAATTTGTAGTCCCAGTCCCAAATGTGGCCGCATCTATTTCAGAAGAAATAAGAAATAAAAAGCAAAACAACAACAAAAAGGCATCCGAAGAATACCTTTTATTCTGTGGCAATGTGCTTTTTGTACAGAAGAAAACCCTGTTCAAGGGTTTTTATCACATTATCCTTGACGAAGCTTCTGATGTTCTTTCTCTCTAAAACACTGCGACAAAATCTTAGATCTCGAATATCAATCAGTGAAATCGAGGCACATCAGAAATCTCAAGACTCGTGGAGCATGAACATGGGTTCGAAATTTTGACTATCCTATGTCCAGACAATACTTTAGCATGCTCTCTGTAGAAGCAGCTGCCTCCTCATCGGCCTAAAATGCCTCCCCACTTAGGGAATCTAGGAAAATGGGTATCCCACTTGACATACTGTATGGATGAGTTGAGGAATAATATCGTTAACCAGGAGGAAACATCAGCAGGGATGCGTGGCATATAAAACAACTGCTTATAGCATATAGCATCATCTGTTGTACATAATAAGGTGGAAAGAGCCACACAGCTTCCTCCCTCTCCCCCGGTCGCCGGGCTCGCATTCTCTTTTAAATCTCCTGAAATTTGCACCTCGAGCCTGGCCATCTTCCTTTTTTGAAAAGCTGATGGCCGTTTGGGCCTAATTCAGCTTCTGCACGTACAGTATACGACGGACCTGGCCCAATGCACAGCAAGGTGAACGGGCCCCGTGGCCAGTCCGCCAGCGGGGCCAGTCTGTCAGTGACAGCCTTACATCTGGCCCCCACGGCCAGTCTGCTAATGACAGCCTTACATCTGGCCCCGTGGCCGGTCTGCCAGTCACAGACTTATATCTAGCCCCCGTGGCCCGTGGCCAGTCTGCCAACGACAATCTTACATCTAGCATCCGTGGCCTAACAACACCTGTCATCCTTTACAACTGCCACCTGACAGCGTAGGACACCTGGAGCATGTTGCCCAGTGGAGACAGTGAACTTGCAGCCCTGCAAAAACTTGCCAGGTGAAGGTCAAGCCTTTGTTTTCGTGCATGGCTCGGTCCGGTTCTGCCTGCGAACCGCTACGAAAAACGGAGGAGGTAATACTGGTTCAGTCCCGTGCAGAACGCGTTTGGTGACGGGTTAAACACGATGCGGGAGGCTGGCGGGACTTGGGCGAATCTGAGTTAGTGAAACAGCTATATCCGATCATCCTATCTGAAATGATGAGACAGCAATTGCATGATCCTAGCAAGGCTTTTCATTTAGGTTCGATGAGAAGAGCCGCCTTTTCGGCCAGCAATGGTCATTTGGTGACTATGGATAAAGGAGCGGGGCCAATGACGAGACAAAGGGCGGCCAGCTGAGAACCCTCTGCTTCCGAGATTGACCCGCACATGGGGCCCTCCACGGAATATGTGCGAGCAATCGGGCTGGGTTCTCGCTCAGGAGCTACCACGCCATACGTGGCTGAGGTTTTTGAGGCGGAGCGGCAGCAGCTGGACGGAATAAAACGACAGGAGCGCTCCAGCACACACGTGGAGGATCTCAATTATTTGGAATTTCGTGATTGTAAAGGTATGTCTCCGTACGTGTAAGCTGCAGTACTACGATAGCTTGCGAGTGTTCGCGCACGAAAAGCCTGTGTGTAAGCGATTGACTTACTCTGAAATGAGATGCGTGCGTGAACGTACACCATTTGTGGTTTGTGTAAAACAATAACTTGTTAACACAAATAGCACGAGATATGACGTGTGCATATAAAATAGGGACAAATTCAGGTTATGTGTATCCGTCGTAAAGGCCAATGCCGACACATGACAGTGGCGCTATGGTTATTTAGCTACTCACACTCGTAGGTCTCCAAATGTAGGAAGTTTAAGTTAACAATGCTGGGTTGTAACTCACCGGTGACGTTAGTACCCAATCATTCGAACTGTCCGAACTTAAACCCACCTGGCCTCGATGACCTTGAATCCCGGTTCGGGACTGGTCGAGCTGCGACCAATGGCGGAGTCGCCGTCCATGTCCTCCACCCTGCTGTCATCTATCGGCGGCCCCGGGAAGTTCGGTGCGTTGTTCATGCCGCGGGGTTGGGCGCAACCCACTGCTGTCAGCTCAGTGGCCACCCTCGTGTTCTCCTGGAACAGTAAGTCACCGCGTGTTAGAAATTTCGCTGTTACCACGGCGTTTGGCAAGTGGACTGCTGTAAATGTTTGTTTCTCAGTTTTTGACAGCATCGTAGCGGATGTAGAGGATAAGTCGAAAAGAGCCTTTATCTACGTCAAGAGTATAAATGACGTCTAACAAAAGTTAAGGACAACGGCGGAGATGAACTTGCAGGATATCCGCCCCCTGAACCTTTGCACGTCAGGCGAAGCACTATTGCATTTCCTGCCGCCTTTGGATTCATGAACCACATTCATGGTCCTGAGCCACCCAAGCCGCCCTAAGATCCAGCGCCATTTGGTCCTGGGCGAACCCAGGTGCAAATCCAGCCTGAACACTTCCGTATCTTCGTCTATGATACAGCGGCCTCAAGCTGGTGGCGGCACACGGATTGGTGTTTTATGCTTTCTCCAGTCTACATGTAATTTTTGTGTGGGTCGTCGAGGTTGCGTTTTGGGCAAAAGCATGGAGGATGCTCTATGCATCCACATATCTTCACGGCAGAGCGTTGCGGAGAATGGAGGTGCGGGGGACAGTTTCTATACTTCTAGCTTGAGGGAGGGGCTGTAAGCAATTGGGTTGAACACGTGAGTGGTTACTTTTGTTTATTTTGCATTGTTTTCCTTAAGCCATCAAATGGACACGCTATGGTCTAATTCGTGCGTGTAAACGAGTCCACCATCTAGCTGCCGACGTCAGCGCCTGCACAGCGAGTGATGTTTTGTCAATGGCTCTGACCCCGGGGTCGTCTGATCAAACCACGCAATCGCGCAATAAACTGGACACGTTCAAGCTTCAGGGCCAGCCCGCCTGGGCCTGAGGCAAGCTCGTTACCGGGACGTCGCTTGTTAAAGGCTGGCGATTTTTTGTGCCTCCGTCGGTTTGGTGCTGTCTACATCAAGGGCGTTTTAGGAAACATGAAAGTATTGAAAACAGAAGAGCAAGGATTTTTAGCCAGTGGGCAGGCACAACATATTAATAGTAAAGTAAATAATGGAATAACATAATTTGTCAAGTGCATTTGCGAGGAACGTTACTCACATATATAAGACAGTAGTAATAGGAGATCCTTGGAGAAAAACAAGAAAAATACAGATATAGATGCGTTGACGTTTCAGCAACATGTTTTATTGAAACGTCTGGAAGAGGCTGTTCAGAAGCTTTCGCCATTCGTTTTGATGAACGGATGTTGTCGAAATATCGACGCATCTATATCTCCATTCTCCTGTTTTTTTTTCTGCGAGGAATTAGGCTATCATTACTGTTTTATCTAAATCATAAAATAGATAAAGACAGATGAAAATACAAAAATATCAATGATTAATCATAAAACAGTGAAGATGTGATTTCAGCAGAACACGATTTCTTGCATGCATTTTCATAAGCGTGGCCAAGGTATTCTAGACGTTTGCTTCTTCTAGCCATACGTCCTATGGTGACCAATTTCTCAGTTAAGACGGCACGTAACGCATTTTCTGGTACCTCGAAGAGATGATTTGCCAAGATGCGTTAACTGAACACACTCAGAAAAAAATCCGCAACATCTAACTGATGGCCCACAGAAAAATTTCCAGCATCCTTCAGCAGCACTTGGGATAAACTACAGATGAACAGTCGTACACGAAAGCGACAATGCTTACAACTTCCATCGGCCAGCTGCGTTTTAATTACACATCCGTACGCATATGTGTCTGCATCCCCCTCCTGCCTTCTGCATGCAAGTTTATCCCGACCTTTACTGCATTTGATGTGCCTAGTCGAGCCCCGCGCTGATCCTGGCCGAGCGCAACCCAAGTGGTGCTGATCCTGGCCGGACGCAGCCCAAGTGGCGCTGATCCTGGCCGAACGCAGCCCAAGTGGTGCTGATCCTGGCCGAACGCATTCCAAGCAGCGCTGATCCTGGTCGAATGCAACCCAAGCAGCGCTGGTCCTGGCCGAACGCATTCCAAGCAGCGCTGATCCTGGCCGAACGCATCCCAAGCAGCGCTGATCCTGGCCGAACACAACCCAAGCAGCGCTGACCCTGGCCAACCGCGACCCAAGCAGCGCTGATCCTGCCCAACCGCGACCCAAGCAGCGTTGATCCTGGCCAAACGCGACCCAAGCAGCGCTGATCCTGGCCAAACGCAACCCAAGCAGCGCTGATCCTGGCCAAACGCGACCCAAGCAGCGCTGATGCCGGCCAAAAGCAACCCAAGCAGCGCTATCCGTTCCCTGTCCTCCCATCCCCACAAACCTTACTCTGTTATACATCCTCCGTTCCCATTATCTATGGCGTCTTCCTTGTTTATACTGTCCGTGCCATTTTTGCTCATCACGGCAGACACTTTAATATCAGTCTTTATGCGTAGACGTTCCGATCTGTGCAGCACAATGGAACACGATACGATGCAATATAACATGCAATCAATGGATATGTGTACACCATGACAGAGCGTCGTACGATGATAAGGCCGATACTAAAGTTTACCTCCTCGATGAGCTTCGCGAAGCATTTCAGAGTAGGCTGAAACAATTTCTCCTTCATCCTCCACGCCCGCTTCCTGTCCATGTTTTCTCCCGGTCGAAGGCCAGAACACCAGCCCACCTCCCTTCACAGACCACCGCGCACTGCGTCGTCCCCCGCGCCCTCCTCTGCCGCCCCTACTCGGAGGAGGGAACCATTCGTCGGCGCGGGCGGCTGGTCGGCGACGTCACCGCAATGACGTCATCCGTCTTCATCGAGCCAGGTGGTGAGGGGTCGACTGAGACCGCCAGAAAGGCGACCCTATTCACTGTCGAGACGAGCGACCGGGGGAACATCCTCCCCCGCCTTCGCGACTCTGGCCGTCGCTAATCACCTCAGGACGCAGACGCGTGCCCGCCGGCGATCAAAGGTCACCTCGGGGTCAGCGCTTACCGGATCTGGCCGCGACACCTTCCCCACATGCGACCAATCGCAGACGAGCACACGACACCGAGCACGCGCCCACGTGCGGCGTCAGGCCGAAGCATCTGAGCAGGACAGGATGCACGGCATGCGCCGTGGAGCAGAGATCCCGGGCGCCTGGCCACTGTGACCCTGGGGTTTCCGCTCGGGGGGTGGGGATAATGATTCGCCGGGCGGCTGCCGGCCGGCGCTGTTTGGGTGGAGCGAAGGGGCGGCCTTCACACGCGAACGGGCCGCGTTTCCGCCGCATTCAGCCGCTCGCGCCGGTCTACTCTCCCCGTTTTGTGGCGCAGATAATGCGGCGCGAGTGATGAGACACGGCTGTTCAGTGAGGTGTACAATAGGGTGCATAATGCTCTTTGATAGCCTGGATTTCGACGCGTTTGTTCCGAAAATGTGAGTGAATTACACCTGATGTCCTGCATAAAGCAGCGCTATCCGCTGGCTGGCGGCAAGACTTCTCTTCAACGTGTGCAAAGCGCAACAACGTCATTTTTCGGTTCAGAATTCGACTGCATTGGTCACCTAGGTTCATTCCCGATGCCGTAAAAGTCCAAACATTTTGTTGCACGAGGATGATCTATCTGAGTGCCAGTTGCCCCTGATTTTTTATAACACTGAGACTGCCGACAAATTCAGCAGGGGCTCCACCACAGTTTAAGTACGCGGCGTCGATGTTTCAAGGCGTTCATTTTTAGCGACGTTCAGGTACGATGCTCGCCTAGAAGTCATGGACTTGCTCATCAGTTTCCCGTCTACTGCAGCGAATGGTATCAAGTCATCTTGTGGATCATAATAGAGGATCACTCAAACAATCGCTTAAATGAGATAGGTTCATAAAATTCATTGGGGCCGTGGGTCAGATTTTTCCAAAACACACGACTTTGCTGTTGTAGTGCTATAGCCACTTTTGGGGTGACTTGAGCCTGACAATGGTGGTAGCTGACGAGCAGCTTTGCGAGGTGTATGTGTATGCGGAGAGGGGGCAATCCCTCTCCAAGACGATAAGAAATTACTCCCCAGTACGCCCCTTCGGCGCCCGCCATCTCTTCCGAATTGCTCAATCACACAACTTTTTTACCAGCTGACATCGCTGCTCAGGAAGACCGCGGCGTCGGCGGCCGACATTACCCTCACCTCCTGCCGTGGCACCCCTCCTGCCGCCCCATTCCGGCGGATCCTCTGCGAGTGTCTGGAGCGCGTCGAGACGAGCGACGGAAGTCACATCTTCCGCCGCGTCGGCAGCGGCGCAGCCCCTCCCCCCTGCCTTCTGCTCGCGGTGTTACCGGTACGGCACCACTTTTTGTCCGGAAGCCCACGGCCGCCGACGGGGGAGAGAAGGGGTGGCATGACACCCATCTGCCAAATTGGTGCTCTGGGGAGAGATGGGGCGGGTCGCTGCTGTCATATTCCGGCTCTCACCACGCACTTAAGCGGACAGCGGGATTCCAGGAAGGCTGTGGGGCACCCATTACGTGGTGTTGTTGATCTCTCCGGTGCTGGCTCTCGTTCAAGGTGGTGCTTTGCGAATGATTATAGCAATTTGTCACACGTATGAAAGTTCAAAGTATCACTGGCATACTTTGCTGTTGTGCAACAGCCTGTGCGTTTGCAATGCTTGCAGTGTTGAATGTTAAACATTAATCTTATGCTTGAATCATTTCAACAGGACACCGCGTTGGGAGTGTTGTAGCTTGTTCCACAAATCCTAATACTCAATAATCCAAGCCGTAAGAATGAGAGCACTTTTCCCTGCCTGTCATGCGAATAATGGTGAGGGATCTTACTCGTAAACATGGAAAAAAACCGTGATGCGCCCGCATGCAACCAAGAAGCTTGTTGTGTTTCCATTTACCATAACTCAATTCGATGTGGAATGTTCCGCTCGCCTCTTGCAAAAGCGGCGGTGCATCATCTAAACCCCACTTTTCCGAAGTTATTCTTACCACTTCGTGCCAGTCATGCATCACAGGAAATGTGGCTTGAACAATGTTTGTACTTTCCGAAGCCCTTTCCTTCCTCTTCAAAACACGCGTCACTTTCAGGCCCTTTACCCACTAACTTTGCGGCACTTGCATGTTATCAGAAGCGAGACTGACTGCTGCCGGTCTAGGCAAATGACAATTCCGTCAAGTGAAATGAATGAATCGTGTTTTAGTGTATGCGCAGTCGCCTACAAGCTTTCCGCGGATGCGTCTTCGGGAATTTCCTCTCCCCCTGCGACACGGTATCACTGTCTTCAAAAGGGCGTGCTCCTACCAACACAGTCCAAGTATTTTTTTCCTCCCCGAAACCCCTCACCGGACCGGCTACGGAAAACACAAACGCGCTAATGGTGCTAACACCTGCGCCGCGCTTGTGAGCCTTCTGCGGGCGGCCGCGAGCCAGCTGTTTCCTGGCACGTGCTCTGACATCTGCGGGGTGATGCCCCCCCCCCCCCTATGTGGACGCTCCCCTCTTGAAATGGATACCCACGACCGGGGTATGCAGCCGCGGCTCAGCGTAAGAAATAACCCTCCTACCGGCTGGGCGCAATTTGTAGGCCTTTACCGGCGCCCGACGCGCTTTTTCTGTTGTGCGCCAGATGATCTCTAGTATGGTTGGCCAGGAACGTGATATCTGTTTGAGGTGCATGAACAGATCGGTTTTTATAATGTCAGCAATGACCAACAAATGACCTACCAATGAATAAACCACCACCCGTTGTATCTCATGATGACGAGCATAGCGGCTATTCTATGTCATGCAAATTTAAGCCAAGAAATTCGTGTGCAAGCGACTCATTATCTCCCTTCGTCTTCATGTTCACTACGTGACTATGCGTATCTGGACTGGACATGCATTTGCGGTTTGTTTGAGGCAGTCAGACATTGTTGAATGTGTTGGGCTATGACGATGCATGGAAGCTATTTTGTCGTGCGTTCTTGTTTCCAAAGTGGCCCACATAGTTAAACAAACATTAGCTTCATCTGTTGTCGAATACCCCTTGTCATATATATTTCGCTGCAATTACCTGCGGAATATTTCGAACATAGCAACTCGTGGTGGGTCGAAGTCCATGTGACCTGAAGTCCACGTGTTAAAAGTAGTCATAACAGGCAATAATAAGATTAAACTAGATCACATGGGAAACGTAGTGGGCACATAACACAAGCAGTTTCAATGTTTTAAGCTTTGTTTTCCTTTGCACCACCACCCCGCGACTTTCGGCGTGATTACAGCACTCCTCCCCCTCACCCCACCCCTCAGCCCGTCGCGGGCGTCCTCGGTGCGTCGCGTGACGTCCTTTCTGCGGGCGGTCCCATATGCGCCGCTCGTGTTGTGCCAGTGTGCACCTGTCACCGCTCGCCGGGGAGACCCGGGGTGGGGAGATACCGCGGCCGCCACACGTGGGGGAGACTTCACTGCAGCGGCTGGCCGCCGCGTCACGTCACCGAAACGTGACGGATGGGTCGAAGAAGTACGCGCCGCTCGGCGCGGCGAAGGGCCGAAGGGCTGGCGGACAGAGCGGCGGACGGGGGAAAGGAGAGCGGCCGACGCGCGGCGGCCGGTCAGTGGGTCGGGCGGGCCGATGCGCGCCGCCGCTGGACGCCTCGTCTCGGCCCGCCGTCGCCTGTGACGGACACGCGCCGGCGGGCGAGAGAAGCCGCCTCGGCTGCGGCCTCGCCACCGATTGGTCAGCCATCCGCTCAGTTAACTACCTGGGAACCTCCGCCGCCGCGTCTGCCACCGAATTCGGCTCACGGGTCAACGAGGCGAGTCCGTCCAAAATGCTTTCTCGAGGCGTTCGGCCTGGCTTTCAGTGAGCATACGTACCGTCGCGTTCAGCCTAGCGACGCCACAATGCACATTGACAACCGCTCAGACAACCTGATCGATAGGTGCGTGGCTAAGAGGGGCGCAGGAAAATTCTTCCCAGATAATGCCAGGCTCAGTACAGTCCTTCACATACTGAGGGAAACAGTAACGCGCCGCGGTATACTATCGCTCTAAAAACAAAGCAAACAAAAAGGTAACGAAAAGAACGATTGTCACGCAGCTTTCCAACAGCAGGACAATCCCCCACCATGGTTAACTATTTTTGGAACACTGCTGCGAATGACCGCTGATCCCAGGGACTCGAAGTCCGCATATCGATTAGTTGGGCGTTTTTTTACATGGTCCGCTCTCCAGGTCTGTTCCGTTCGTCCACTGAAAATGCACATCGCAAACATAAGGCTTCATGACACGTGGCTTGCGACTCGTAGGCTGTTATGTCAAGAGTTTGATGGAAGTTCTGCCCGCGAAATGAAATGTCCTTAGTCATGAAACGCAGGGGATGGTCGCCAAGGGATTCATGTTCAGTATTTGTTGAGAACCATGGTTCGAATAAAGCACGAATTTCCGGTAGAGGGGGCAGAAGTGAGCACTTTCTCTGCTTCACACGTGCATGCCTTGGGTGCTGGTAGCAGTATCTGACCTCTATGTCAGCTAACCTTCGCCTTGGCAGGCAATACCGGCCTTAGCCCAGCCAGTGACCCGCTCTTCGTACTCTGCCGCCGCATGGCACAGAAACGCTCCCAGCACTTGCCGTTACAGGAGCTCCACCAGTATGGGAGGTTGGCAGAGGAGGCAAGATAATCACATTTTTTAAAAAGATTGTTGCATCCGTAGTACTGGTAAGACACCGAGC